GAGAAGAGCTCATTTATAGAGAAAGACTTATTTGCAATGGAGCGGGCGTTTAGTAATCCAAAACGGCTGAACAAAGGTGAAGCAACTGCGTGATCAGCTGAGCGCTTCAGGATCTGCCGCAGACAACGCATGCGGTCACGTGAACAGCTGGTCCAGAGACGGTCCATCGCAGGAGTAGACACGGGTCCTGTCTGCTCCACCATGGGTCCAGTTTGCAACCGTATAGAGGGGAAACCCGGTGGGACGAGGTGGGGAGGCAGCGCTGTTTCCCACGCCCTGCGGTTGGAGGGGAATGTGACGCAGCCACCTGTAGCTTCGCACTGGACGAGTGAGACCAAACAGCCTCAAATCGGCTTTTCTGATCTGGACCTGGATACCAGCCTCTGCGTCTCGCCCTCTTTTTGGAGTTTCCCGGGGGTCGCAACAGCCACAGGTACTCCTGGGAAGTGGGGGCGAACGCGAACAGGGATGGAAAAGTGTTCCTCCAGCTGCCCCAGTCATTGAAGCGGCGCTCCATACACTCTTTAATATCAAAAAGAGAGCTGCGGGCATAAGTCCGTAGAGCCATGGCACAGTCGCTGGCCATCAGAGCAGACAGGATGGCAAAGTATGTTATGAATAATACAGGATAACAACATTGTAGCTGACGAGCAGAGGCACAACCAAACATAGGCACCATCTTGCTACTGGTCTAACCGCTGTAAAAAAAACTACACTATGCAGTGGGGTTACCAGGTTGAGTGGCTTCCTGCATACTTTTGTTCCAAGCAACAAGAAGGTAATAAATAAATAAATAAGACAATACACAGATTAATGATAGCCTAAGTTGATTGCATTACTTTGTTTGCCCAAAAAAAAACCTTCTGGTGGTTTTTTGGGCATTTTCACGGGTGTTGAGATGGAAAATCTTGTACTGAATTGTGTGCTTCGATGTGAGTGGTAGCAGGTCATTCAAAATAACGGACAATCACTTTATCCAATCACATACAATGATTTGTTTACAAGGCCCCGCCTTCTGAAATACATCTCCTGTTGAGAAATCCGAACTTCAAGGGTCTGGCGAGAGTCAGGCTAAAGACCCATACCCAAGTCACACTCCACGAAGTGAGTGGTTAAAGGACCTGGGGAAGTCCACGTCTGGACCACGCCACACTCTTTGTCTGAAAAAATAAACAACGGCCTGGCATGCTGCATTGTACTCCACTGTAGACCAAATTGAGTGGTAGATTTTAGAGACCAGAGAAAGATCAGAGAGATATATCATAGAGAAACCAGAGAGACTTGAGAGAGACCATAGAGAAACTAGAGAGAAGGACTAGATAGGGACCAGTGACCAAAAAAAGAGAGAGAGACCAGAGAGAGACCATGCATTTATACTCACTGTTGTAGCTGTTGTAGCAGTCTCAGAAATTACTCAGCAGTAACAGAAATGAACTGGATTTCTGTCAAGTCTTCCCATGCACGACCAAAATAACTGGGTGCTCCTCATGTTTGAAGACGAGGAACCAAAAGTGAGATGAAAATAGTCAGGGACTTACTCCTGGACAGATCCCCATCTCTGAGTGAGATTCAGGTCATGGGTTTTTAATCATATTTTGATGAATGTTGGAAAACTCAAAAACTGCTGCTAAACAAAGACACCATCAGACTTGTATATGTTTGGCCTTAAACCTAATTTGGACAATATTTACCCACAATTTTTGGACTAGTAGCTGCTTTTTCTATGTATTATTATCATTGTTACCCCATATAGCATACGTATATGAGGACATATGACATCACCATAGTGGATACAGGGTCTTTCTGAGTGGAGTTTGCACTTTCTCCCCGTGTCTGCGTAGGTTTCCTCTGGGGGCTCCGGTTTCCCCTACAACTAAAATCATGCACAATAGGTCAGATCCTCCAGCTCCGGTAGTCCTGACCAAGCCGAGTATCAACATCTGAAGATGGGTCCCCGGACACTGTACTACAGTGATCATTGCACTTGATAGAGGCCCTAGTGGAATTGCAGGATAGGTCAAATGCAGAGGACAAAGTTTCCTATGGGGATAAATAAAGTGCACATTTATATCTAATGTGGAAGAGGCTGATGTCAGATAGAGGGAAATCAGAGGGAGAGACCAGAGAGAGATCAGTGAGAGAGATACCATAGAGACCCCAGAGAGAGGAATTAGAGAGAGGTCAGAAAGAGTCTAAAGAGAGGCCAGAGAGAGACCAGAGAAAGACTAGAGAGACTAGAGAGACTAAAGAGAGTGAGACCAGAGAGGTCAGAGAGAGAGACTAGACAGCCCATGTGATAATAATAATAATGCATTGGTTTTATATAGCGCTTTTTTGGACACTCAAAGACGCTTCACATGTGTCATTATTCATTCACTCCATACACGGTGGTGATAAACTACTACTGTAGCCACAGCTGCCCTGGGGCACACTGACAGAAGCGAGGCAACCAGTCTGCGCCATCGGCCCCTCCGACCACCACCAACCATTCACACACACACCAGACTCAATGGGGGTAAAGTGTCTTGCCTAAGGACACAACGGCAGTTTGGCACTTTACAGCCACAGCCGCCGCACTGTGGCTGGTGTTCCCACAGGTTAAGTGTCTTGCCAAGGACACAACGACAGTAGTCAGTGGGAGTCGATGGTGAAAGTCTTGAGCGGGACTTGAACCCACGACCATCTGGCTCAAAGGCCAACGCTGTACCAACTGAGCTACTGCCGCCCTCAATTTATGTGATAAATTTATATTATATTAATATATATAAATGCATATTTGTATTAAGCCCCTCTGGGATAATGAAGACACTCTGAAACTGCCTGTCTCCCTTGTGATAAAAAGCCAACTAAGTTCTAAAATGCTAGCCTACCTTTTCCACTGTTGTCCTCGACACAGTATTTTAACATAGGGATATGAGCCTTTCTTCAATCTTTTTAATGAAATATGATTATTCATTAATATTTTGTAATGTTTCTTTTCTGGGGTGACAGTGGCTCAATTGGTAAAGCATTGACCTTTGAGCCTGGAGGTTGTGGGTTCAAGCCCACCTTGATCAAGACACTTAATCCCACTTTGTCTGAAGCCCCGCTGAAAGATCAAGGCACTGCTCTCACCGACGGAGCAACCACCACCTGCAGGAGGATCAGTGAGGGGCTGGTGCTCTGTGAATTAGGGGCAGCTTTGACAGCCCCTTTATTAAAACAGTTTTAAGTAGTTTTTTGGTCTTTCTACTGAGCCGCAGAAGTCTTGAGAAGTACTTCAGAAGTAGAGGAAGGTCTCTCTCTGGTCTGCCTCCATAGTCGCGTTTCCACCGCAGGAACTTGGGGGTAATTTTACAGGGCGTGTCTCCATTGCAGGAACCTCCCCAACAGGGCCATTTACAGGACCTTTTACAGGAACCAACAAAGTACCTCCTCTGTGCTAGGTACTTCGTTTGGCCCTGAATAGCTTCTGGGTGGGGCTTGAAGTTAACCTGCTTATGCGGCAATTGAAACTCATGATGTCGCTGGGGGTCCTGCTCTGTTGTGGAGATAGGGCCACGGTCTTGGTCTGCTCTCTCACTGGTCTGACTCTGCTCTCTCTCTTGTCTCCCTCTCTTATGGAGCTATTATTGTTTCAATAATATTTGTGTGTGCGTATCAAGATTTGTTTGTGAGTAAAACGATTTATGTGTGTGTAAAAAAAACACAAGTTGTTTTTTTACACAAGAATCTTTTGACGCAGTCCTGCCTTTGCAGATTCACAAGTGTAACTTGGACTGTGTGCGTGCGTAAACAGATTTGTGTGTGTGTAATTTGACATTTGTATCTGTAACAGAACAATCTGTGTGTAAATAACCACGTTGTACGAAGAGAAGAACGGAAAAAAGCCTAAGTGCTACGCACAGGCTCTGTTTTACACACAAATCTCTTTTTGACACACCTCTGCCGCCAAGCGTGTCTCAAAAAGATTCGTAAGTGTAATGTGGTTTTTCTAGCAGTACACCAGCAGATGGTGCTGTTTTAGCTGGTTATTACCTACACGCAAGCAAACCAGCAGAGTTTGTGGCACTAAAGTGTAGATTTAAAGAAAACCAAAGGATTTAAGAAGAAGAAAAGTTCAGGATGACAAGGGACACTACAATTCCCACAAAATCCGACCTTTACGAAAGCTGTAGGTTCTGTCAGCTGTTTTAGTTTACTTTGAGTTCTATGGGGAAAATTTCTGTGTAGCCCAAGTGAATTTAGTCTGCAGTACACGAGAATCCCCCGAGCATGTGGGTCCTTCAGCTCCAAGCTAGTAACACCCTATCCAGTTATTACAATAGATCCATGTATCATACAGTGGTGTGAAAGACAGGATTTTGAATATAGAAAAAAAAATATCAGCTGCGGTAGTGTGTCTTGTCAAGGCAGTAGGTTTTGGTTTGCTTGCGTGTAGGTAATAACCAGCTACAACAGCACCATCTGCTGGTGTACTGCTAGAACAACCACATTACACTTACAAAACTCTTTGACACACGCTTGGCGGCAGAGATGTGTCAAAAAGAGATTCGTGTGTGAAACAGAGCCTGTGCATAGCACTTAGGCTTTTTTACAATCTTCTCTTCGTACAACGTGGTTATTTACACACAGATTGTTCTGTTACAAATACAAATGTCAAATTACACACACACAAATCTGTTTATGCACGCACACCGTCCAAGTTACACTTGTGAATCTGCGAAATCAAAAGATTTGTGTGTAAAAAAGAAACTTGTGTGTAAAACATACCTTTTTTTTTACACACACACACAAATCTTTATACGCACACACAAATCTTGATACGTACATACAAATCTATTTACACACGCACAAATATTTCTTTTACGCACACACAAATCTGTTTACGCACACACAAATATTATTGAAACAATAATAGCTCCATACTCTCTCTGCCCTCTCTCTGGTCTCTCGCTCTGGTCTTTCTCCACCCTCTCTCTCTGATCTCTCACCTCTCTCTCGCTCTGTTTTGTTCTCAGATCCTTCAGACCAGACTTTGTGCTGGTCCGGCAGCATGCCTTCAGCATGGCTCAGAACGAGGACTTCAGGAACCTCATCATCGGGCTGCAGTACGCCGGGGTCCATTCGGTCAACTCCCTGGACTCCATTTACAACTTGTGTGACAAACCCTGGGCTGTGAGTATGACCTGTAAAGATAGAGCCTTGTACCTGGATCTACAGTCTCAGTCCTGAATCTACAGCCTCAGTCCTGGAGCTACAGAGGCTCATAGACTCATAGTGTCCAGAATTTCTGTAACAATCATTGCAACCTGCTTTAAATCCATTTTTTTAAATGATGAGATGAATTTGTCTTTCTGCTTTAGTTCTCTCAACTTATCGCCTGCCAGAAGAAGATGGGTCCCGACAGGTTCCCTCTCATCGTCCAGACTTTCTACCCCAACTACAGAGACATGGTCAGTGTGGAGGAGCTTTGGTTGTGATGCATGTATCATAATGTTTTGACAGTACCAGATGTGTCTTAGTGCAGTAGTTTAATGCTAATGTCATCTCTTACCAATGGAGTTATCTCCAACAGGCTACATGGGCGGTATGCTAAATTCTCTCATAGCATTCCCAGCAACCAAGGGGCCAATCAGAGTTGTGCTGGTCTGTTCCTGCTGGTTGTAGTCAAACAACAGCTCCACTCTACTCTACAGTACTCTATACTCTCCCATGATTTGGTGTGTTTTCACTGGTCCCTCTTGGCCCTGGCTCTATCCAGGCCAAGCTGGTACTAAAGTGTTCAAACTGACAGTGATTGGCCAGGGTGTTTCTTGAAGCCATGGTTACCAAGGAATTTCCCTGGGCACTGGTTTGTTGTCAGTAGGTTGTTAAGATAGTTTCTTTTTAAATGAAAGTGAACCCTGGATTTGAATGGTACAATCATTTTAATGCACATGTGTCAAAGTCAAGGTCCGCGGGCCAAATCCGGCCCGCGAATGAATTATCTATGGCCCCCGGGACATTGCCTGCCATTGAGGCAATGTATTGACCCCTTAAGCTCGCTAGCCCCCGCCGGCGGGAGCAAACGAGGAAAAAAATACATCTGCTGGCAATAGCAGATGTACAGTATTTTTAACTTCATAAGCCACAAACTATATATCATTTTAAAGCTTATTTTCTCAGCTATATTTATATGTAAGTGTAAACGATATCAGACATTGCATTAAAAAGATATAACGCATAATATGAGCACAAAATAAATCATGTCTGTATTCGTTTTTTACCTTTCGTCTTCTGCTGCTCCAACAAATTAGACTTTCCCCATCCTTGCTTAGTCTCTTTCTCTCCGTAACTGTTCATTGAAGAAGAATATCCACTTGTATTTCCCAAAGTATAATCCATTCTGCAGATTTAATCAAAAAACGCCCCGAAAAGAGGTCCAGACTGCTCTTTTACATTTCACCAAGTTTGAGCTTTGTTTTTTTTTACTACTTTCATGTTCTCAGATGTCTATTACATCTAATATGTACAGTATGAGGATTGGCTTTAGAGCATATTTTATCGAGCCAGCAGTGTCACCGGCACTGCCTCTGGATGTTGAGAAACATTGAACCAGTCCGGCCCTCGGCGCGCAGCAAACATTTTTTTTGGCCCTCTGATGTATTTCACTTTGACATGCCTGTTTTAATGCATGTATGGTATACAGCACTTTTATGGAAACTCAAGGTCTCTTCACATCATTTTTCATTCACTCCAAACACAGTGGTCATAAGCTACTACCATACCACAGCTGCCCTGGGGCACCACACACACACACACACACACACACACACACGACTCATTCTAATGTGGGTGAAGTGTCTTACCTAAAGACTTTACAGCTGCAGAACCCCCACTGTGGCACCTTGTGTTCCATGTGTTGCTAACAGGCCCTGCTAACAGGCCCTGCCCTGCTGAGCCTCAGAGGTCTGAGGGATTGAGAGACCAGCGAGAGGAACCAGTGAGTGACCAGAGATAGAGACTGGATAAAGTGAAGGACAGTTTAACACACATCTGTTTGAAAAAGAACCACGTCTCAGACCAGTTTCCTTCAGCACGTTTTATATACAACTTTTTGGTAGCTTTTTACAGACAGCTTATTGAAATAAAAAAGTGAAGAGAGAAAATAACATAAATACAAACATTTATTTCAGTATAAAACATGAGTAGGAGACACAGACATCAGTCACATGTTTTAGAACCAGGTCACGTTGCGTCACAATGATCTGTAAAACTTACTTTAAAAAGAGTTAATTTTGTCTTCTTTATATTTGAGGCTTAAAATGTTAATTAGGCAAAGAGTGTAAATAAGCTATGACTGCTTAATCATGTGGTAATTAAGAAATACTAGCTTCATTACACTATTTGTCTTGTTAAAGGAGCTATACCCGTTTCAGCAAAGGTACGTATGGAAATATTAGCATGAGCGCAACTTCTTGTAAGCTGTACAACAATCACTGATGAAATGGTACAAAAGCAACGCACTGCTAACAAAATATATTACTGAAAGATTACCCGAGGCGGTCCCGCTCCCGCAGGTCTCTCCCAGACACGTTTCTCCAGTGGATACGTAAGCTAGCTAGATGTTCACCTGGGCTTGATTTCTTATTTTCGCTTTAGCTCTCTCTTCTCTTCCTCACTGTTGTGTCGTTTGGGCTGTTTTGCTGTGTATGCAGTTACAGCAAGAAGAGTTATAGCCAATTCTGCTTACATGCTACTGTGCTTAGCAGCGCTGTAGAGGCTAGAGGTCTGCGCCTGCTCGTAACAGCAGGCTCCTTGTTCTGTGAGTGGAGGAGACCAAGCTTAGTCTCTACTCAGCACTTTTTACGGCCTGAATTCATACATAAGCTGAATCAATGAGCTCAAGTTTTCAATTAAATTACGGATTATAATACAACTTGTATGTAGTGATAAGCAATTTTATTAACTCATAAAAAAAAAAATGGGTATATAGCATCTTTAAAAGAACGTTTTAAGCCTCAAACTTCCTTAAATCTTGTATATCTACATTTAGCTTTCTCTCATATTTAGGACTGCATGTTTTTACCAGAACTAAAAGTGTTTCTCAACCAGTGGGCCTTGGGACTTTAGTTTAGTGTGCTTTGGAAATGAAGATTTTACAGCCTTTTTTTGTTTGATTTCCTATATAAAACACTTTGAGACTAAAAACTTAATGTTTGTGTCACATTCAGCAAGTGATTATAGTCAGAACGGATGTGCCACAGCTCAGAAAAGGTGGGGAACACTGCTCTAACTGTTGCTGCTAGCTTGGATCGGCCCTCTGCCTGGATCTATCTTAGGGCTATGTGAAAAGAATTGGATTGTTTTATAAAAGAGGGGTTGTACAATGAAAACCACTAATAAGACAAAGATTCAAACAGATGTATCTATAGCTGAGGTTTCCACCAGACACAAATATTGAGGTGAGAACAAACACATCTCACACTGGGCAAAATAAGGGGTTAGTGTAAACATCTAAAACGTTAATCTTCACAGTATGTACAATGGAAAGTCCCACCAAAACTATGGGGATAAACCTGTTTTACAAAGGTTCCAGAGTCAGTGGTGGTTGGACTCTATCTAAAACACACAAAGACATTGAGGGAGCGCTGCGGGACTGTGACAGTTTGTGGCAGTTTTGCTTGGACAGATGAAAGGCAGATCTGCAGGTTCTACAGTTTGATACACTCAGAGCCCTGTCCGTCACAAACACAAACTGCAGGAGGTGCAGGCTGAATGTGGAGCAGCACGAACTCTTCTTTCTGTGAAAACAAGTCTGTGTCAACACCTGCACTACAGCCAAAGGCCACATGAGGGCACCAACACCTGCACTACAGCCACTGGCCACACAGGGCGACCAATACCTGCAATACACATCCACTGGCCACACGAGGGCGGCAACATCTGCACCACAGCCACTGGCCACACGAAGGCGCCAACACTGGTGAGTTGTTTGAGGCTCCATTAGCTCATGTCCAACACAACATGCGAGCCACACAAACTGAAAACATGCTGTGTGTCTGTGTGCATGTGCGTGTGTGTGTCTCACGTGTCTCACCGCTTTCAGGGGTCAGTAAAGTCCTGGAAGTCCTTCTCTGGGGGGGGTCCTCCTCGGTACCAGCTGCAGCTGGAGTCTGAGCGGCGGATACAGGCGTACTGCCGTGCCTGTTCCCCGTTCAGACTATTGTCCAGGAGCCAGTCTGTCCACAGACACTCGTGCTGCCCGGCTGAGGCACAGGGTACACTGTAGCATGTGTAGATCTGAGGGAGGCTCACATTAATACACTATGTATATACAAAGTAGATATGAGGGAAGCTCACATTAACACACTGTATATATACAAATACAGAATTTATACACACACACTGTGGCACGTGTAGTTCTGAGGTAGGCTCACATTAACACCCTGTATATATACAAATACAGTATATATATATATATACACACACACACACACACACACACACTGTGGCACGTATAGATCTAGATCTATACGTGCCAATAACCCACTTTATAATTACAAATACAGTATATACACACTATGTTTTGTGTACAGACACACACACACACACAGAGACATACATACTGTCCTCTGTATGTTCCTGTCTCTTACCCTGCACTCGCAACCCATCTGGTATCTGTAGTTCAGATTCTTCTTCTGGGACAGGGACAGGTTGTCCCAGGACTCCACCAGGTCACACTGACCGATGGAGATCCTGCCATCGCTCCACATGCTTCCTGTGGAACAGAACAGTGTTGTGTTAGTTCCTGTGGAACAGAACAGTGTTGTGTTAGCTCCTGTGGAACAGAACAGTGTTGTGTTTGTTCCTGTGGAACAGAACAGTGATGTGTTGCATCCTGTGGAACAGAACAGTGTTGTTTAGAGAACAGTGGTGTTTTACTTCCTGTGGGAACAGAACAGTGTTGTTTACAGAAAAGTGGTGTTTTACTTCCTGTGGGAACAGAACAGTGTTGTTTAGAGAACAGTGGTGTTTTACTTCCTGTGGTAGAGAACAGTGTTGTGTTACACCATCAGTGTTGGAGCTGTGTTTCCATGGTGTGTTCCCATGGTGTGTTTCCATGTTTACGTGTTTCCATCGTTACCTGAGAGCAGGTATCCCGCCTTGTTGTTGGAGTCCAGTTTGACGCCGCAGAGCGAGGAGAACACAGGCGTGTACACGTACTGGATGTCTTTGGCCTTTTGGAACCCTTTGAACATCTGCAGAGACACAAGCAGAGTTTGGACCAGGACTAGGACAAGACCAGGACAGGACCAGGACAAAGACCAGGGAAAGTATCAGGACCAGGAACAGGGTCGGGACCAGGATTAGGACAACAAGGGACCAGAGAGAGAACAGAGAAATATCAGAGAGAGACAGATCAGAGTGACACCAGAGAGAAAAAGTCCAGAGAGAGGACAGAAAGAGACCAAAGAAATACCAGCGCAAGACCAGAGAGTGACCAAAGAAAGACCAGGAGAAAGACCAGACAGTGAGAGACCAGAGAAAGAGACAAAAAGAGAGACCGGAGAGACACTTGACATAGAGACCAGAGAATTATCAGAGAGAGACAGACCAGAGTGACACCAGAGAGAAACCAGAGAGAGATCAGAGACAATCCAGCGAGAGGCCAGAGAGAGACCAGAGAAATACCAGAGCGAGACCAGAGAGTGACCAAAGAAAGACCAGACCGAGACCAGAGAGAGACCAGAGAAAGACCAAAGAGTGACCAGAGAAAGACCAGGAGATAGACCAGAGAGAGATTGTGGACTTGCCTTTCAGGATACTGCTGCGACTAACATAGAGTCATGAAGAGTCATGTAGAGTGGTATCATAGGCGACAGTAGCTCAGTTGGTAGAGCATCGGCCTTTGAGCCAGTGGGTCGTGGGTTCGAGCCGGACTCTCACCATCGACTCCCACTGTCTGCTGTCGTTGTGTCCTTGGCAAGACACTTAACCTCTGGGAACACCAGCCACAATGGGGCGGCTGCGGCTGTAAAGTGCCAAACTGCTGTTGTGTCCTTAGGCAAGACACTTCACCCCCATTGCCTAGAATGAGCCTTGTGTGAATGGTTGGTGAGGGGCCGATGGCACAGACTGGTTGCCTCGCTTCTGTCAGTGTGCCCCAGGGCAGCTGTGGCTACAGTTGTAGTTTATCACCACCGTGTATGGAGTGAATGAATAATGACATGTAAAGCGTCTTTGAGTGTCCAAAAAAGCGCTATATAAAACATATAATGCATGTTTTATGTATTATTATTATAAAGCTGACCATTAGACCATTGGCTTTTAAATCTTTCTCACACATTCTCTTACATCCCTGTGGTGCTGTTTGATGATTCATCAGGGATTGAACGGATCGGAGGATAGCTTCTCTAATGGCGCAGTTACAGATCAACATTAAACACGGAAGTAAAGAGACTGTGCTCCAGAAATCAACAGTTTCCACTTTCACCTTTATCATCTTGATCTCGTACTGGATCATCTTCATGTACGGAGAAGAGCTGTTGCTAGGGGACACTATCTTCTCGCCGGAGATCTTCGCCCGGATCACTGTCAAGACAAAAGAACACATTGATTACCAGAGAGAGATCAGAGAGGGACCAGAGAGAGACCAAAGAGAGACCAGAGAGTGGGACCAGAGAGAGAGAAGAGAGAAACCAGAGAGTGAGAGCAGTAAGAGACCAGAGAGAGAGACCAGAGACAGACCACAGAGAAAGTCTTGTAGAAATACAGTGCCTAGCGAAAGTATTCGGCCCCCTTGAACCTTTCAACATCTCAGGCTTCAAACATAAAGATATAACATTTTAATTTTTTGTCATGAAACAACAACAAGTAGGACACAATCGTGAAGTGGAACAAAATGTATTGGATAATTTAAACTTTTTTAACTTTACTTTCAGTGCAGCAAACTCACTCCAGAAGTTCAGTGAGGATCTTTGAATGATCCAATGTTGTCCTAAATGACTGATGATGATAAATAGAATGCACCTGTGTGTAATCAAGTCTCCGTATAAATGCACCTGCTCTTTGATAGTCTCAGGGTTCTGTTTAAAGCGCAGAGAGAACCATGAAGACAAAGGAACACACCAGGCAGTAGTGATGGCAATATGAAGCCCCATGAAGCCTTGAGGGTTTGCAGCCTATTACTCGGCCCATGAGGCGAAGGCTCGAGGTGAATCATGCTCCACTACGCCACCATGTGGACAAAGAAATACATAACACTCTTAAGTGCTTACAATGAATGGTGAGATCTAATGTTAAAATGTATATTTACAATCTATGGTCTAACGTGTTGTGTTTGAAATGATGCTTCATGAACTATGAACTATTTGAGTCTTTCAGTCAATTGTGTTGATACAACAAACACATCTAAAGTAATACAGTTCTACAGAAAGTGATTAATGGAGGAAAAACTATCAAGAGGTGGATTAATTAAACACAACAAACCATTTATTCCCAATAAATAAATACATTTACTTTGCAACAAAATGTATTATGGGTAGACCGGGAATCGAACGCTATATCTTCTACTTCGGAGTCCATCATATACCGACTACGCCACACAGCTGTTGTGAAATGTATTATCCAGCGTATTATTACTAATAACTTGAAGCCTTGATATATGAGGTTTTACTAAAGTGAAACGTTTTTAATTGTATTTCATATGAAGTCGTTTTTCTATACTTAGTACAGGACTGCTCCACATCACGCACACACACGTACGCACACAGAGGCAAACGGGGACAGCCAATACAGTCTATGGTACAGCCGCGGATCACAAAGCACCTGTCAAAGCAATGCACTCTCCGAACTATATGAACCGTCACGTGGTGCGGCCGCTACGCGAGGCTTCGAACGTCACCACATGTCACCAACACACGCCTCGAACCACGCTTCAAAAAATACGCCCCCTTTTTACTCGGTACACGCTTCGAAGACCCGGCACGCTCAGCACATCACTACCAGGCAGGTCCGAGATACTGTTGTGGAGAAGTTTAAAGCCGGATTTGGATACAAAAAGATTTCCCAAGCTTTAAACATCTCAAGGAGCACTGTGCAAGCAATTATATTGAAATGGAAGGAGTATCAGACCACTGCAAATCTACCAAGACCCGGCCGTCCCTCCAAACTTTCATCTCAAACAAGGAGAAGACTGATCACAAATGCAGCCAAGAGGCCCATGATCACTCTGGATGAACTGCAGATTACTACAGCTGAGGTGGGAGAGTCTGTCCATACGACAACAATCAGTCGTGCACTGCACAAATCTGGCCTTTATGGAAGAGTGGCAAGAAGAAAGCCATTTCTCAAAGATATCCATAAAAAGTCTTGTTTAAAGTTTGCCACAAGCCCCCTGGGAGACACACCAAACATGTGCAAGAAGGTGCTCTGGTCAGATGAAACCAAAATCGAACTTTTTGGCCCGAATGCAAAACGATATGTTTGGCTTAAAAGCAACACAGCTCATCACCCTGAACACACCATCCCCACTGTCAAACATGGTGGTGGCAACATCATGGTTTGGGCCTGCTTTTCTTCAGCAGGGACAGGGAAGATGGCTAAAATTGATGGGAAGATGGATGGAGCCAAATACAGGACCATTCTGGAAGAAAACCTGTTGGAGTCTGCAAAAGACCTGAGACTGGGACGGAGATTTATCTTCCAACAGGACAATGATCCAAAACATAAAGCCAAATCTACAATGGAATGTTTCACAAACAGACGTATCCAGGTGTTAGAATGGCCAAGTCAAAGTCCAGACCTTGAATCCAATCGAGAATCTGTGGAAAGAGCTGAAGACTGCTGTTCACAAACGCTCTCCATCCAACCTCACTGAGCTCGAGCTGTTTTGCAAGGAAGAAAGGGTACGAATTCCAGTCTCTCGATGTGCAAAACTGATAGAGACATACCCCAAGCGACTTGCAGCTGTAATTGCAGCAAAAGGTGGCACTACAAAGTATTAGCGTAAGGAGGCCGAATAATATTGCACGCCCCACTTTTCAGTTTTTTATTTGTTAAAAAAGTTTAAATTATCCAATAAATTTCGTTCCACTTCACAATTGTGTCCCACTTGTTGTTGATTCTTGACAAAAAAAATAATTTTTATATCTTTATGTTTGAAGCCTGAAATGTGGCAAAATGTTGAAAAGTTCAAGGGGGCCGAATACTTTCGCAAGGCACTGTAGCTCTCATATCAACAAAGGTTGGAGACATCTGAATAATATGACAAATTCTCACTCTGTGACTTTTCTACCTGTTGAAACCAAAGTATCCAAAAAAGTGTTGAAGCCGCTACATGTGTTTTTTCTAGTGACGGGCAGATGAATACTTGAGTGCAGAGCGCAGTTTTCACCATGAAACATAAATAAACACTTCAAAATCAATTTTCATGAGGCGACAGTGGCTCAGTTGGTAGAGCATTGGCCTTAGACAGTGGCGTTCCAAGGGTACCCGGGGCCCCAGAGTCCTTGGGGGCTCCGATACCAACCACATAACCAGATTTTGTAATCCTACAATATCTTTTATTTGGCCCTTTGTGTTTAAACACTGAGGGACAAATGAAAGATTAGGCTCTAAGCTTTAATCTGCAAAAAACAGATTGTTTTTACCTTTTACTGTTCTTGAGCAATCTGTCATAGAATAAAATATATATAGGTTGATCCAAACATAGGTCTCACTCAGATTCAAACCTGGTTCATCGCGACACGAGGGCTGCAACTTAACCACTACACCACTATGTCACCTTCAGATAGAGGTTTTAACTGTTAATGAAGAACGTGGCAAGTTTTGTCACTGCAGGTAGCTGTTGTAGCCTGTACAAGCTTGTGTCAAATTAGTCTGCCCTCGGGGGCCCCCTGCCGGTTTGGGGGCCCCAGGAAGCTGCCTGCCTTGCCTAATGGCAAGGGACGCCTCTGGCCTTAGAGCCTGAAGGTCGTGGGTTTGAGCCAGTGGGGGTGGGTCCCGGCTCAAAAGTGGCCAAAATGACGTGCGCTGACATGCTTGCAATACCACCCCGGGCCGATGGGGGTGGAACTGGAATAAGAATTAGCCAATGCTAACATATAGCATCTTCTTACCTCTTGAAAACGCCTTTACAGGAAGGTCCAAAAGTTGGCTCTTCGCCCAAAGCTCCGTTCCACATGTGTGTCAATGCTGAGAGGAGTGAATTTTTTTGGACCAGTCTAGTTTACTTGCTGTGAATTTTTGAAGGCACTTGTTTAAATAAATGGGGCTCGTGCCGGCTGATGCATGCGCAGATGCGTTTTTTCACATTTTCCAGCCCCCGCGGCCATTTTGAATCACTCCATGAAAGCCCAATTTTTGGCCCATTAGTTAGGACGGCGGAGATAGGTGTGGCTACGTCCGTTAATATTTATACAGTCTATGGTTTGAGCCACCACAAGACCTACTTCACGACTCCCACTAATTACTGCTGTCAATGTGTCCTTTGGCAAGACAGTTAACCCTACTTTGCCTGAAGCCCCTGCTGAATAATCAAGGATCCTGTGGACTCACCACCTGCAGACCCACCCCCCCTCCGACCCAGAATTGGATTAAGGGTAAGAAAATGGATGGACGGATGGGCAATCATTTGATGAGACAATACCTTGTTAGGTTGAATAAGAATAAAAATGTATCCCAAAACATGGATCTCCGTTTTCCACTTGCAGATGCTATAGATGCACCAACACTATACAACACTCTGTCTCCTCACTACCCAACATTGTGAAGAAATATAGAAGTATCATTTACACTGTAGATAGTTAGCGTCATTACACTAAATGCTGTCAAAGCAAGGAGACGAGTTATAAGATAAGATAAACTTTATTCATCTCACAATCGAGAAACAAAGAAGGAGACCAAACATGTTTATGAGCAGTAATTACGCTTCCAAAGCTCAAAGCCATCACAATGATGCTCTAAGAGATTGTGTAGCATGTGGCTACGCTAAACTATTACAGGTCAGGTAATAATTTGACACACACACTATCGAGTTCTGGGCTAAAAATCAGAAGTCCCAGTTCGCCTCTAAGAGTGGAGAGAGACACAATGAAACACTTGACTTTTGCAGATGGCACCACCACATGTATTGAATTTAAAGAGACTATGACAAACAACAAACAATGACATACAACAAATTTACATATATAGACAATGAGTTCTGTTTGGCTTCCGGAATTGTCCACTTCAACGGTTGCACAAATGTCAGAGTACGCGAAGCGCACAAAACAAAATATAATCCCAGTGCTCGTTCAGTGAGTGGTTGTTTGGTTGGGCTCGGATATTCCAAAGAGTGAGTTTTAACGGGTGAATGTGAGTCAATATGAAGTGAGCCCCTCACTTCGAACACGAGGACAAATCAAAAGGGAAAAAGGGCGGCTACAGGAGCCTCCTACCCGACCGGCGCAGCAGGATGCAGTTGTCTGACTGGACTGAGTTCCTCTCTTGGAGCTCAACTCTGGTTCGGGACTAAGCTCGCCATCCAGAACCTCCTGGCCTGAGCAATAGAGCCAAGGTTCAATTAAAAGTCTATGTGCACATAATCGAAA